AAAAAAAAAAAAAAAAAATCCTATAATATAAAACTTTGCCCAACAGAAGTTTTATAATGGTCTCCTCTTTATAGATGGTAAAAGTCTTTGGACTCATGAAGGTACTGTAGTTACATCATAGAAGTAAATTCTTTCACGGTAGCACTAGCTGATATCAAAGTGGGCATGAAAGTAAATTCTTTCATTAGTTGGGATATATGACATTCAAGCACACATCATGCGTTGACAGACAGGAACTTTATTCCGGTACATTGCCTACGTACTAATGCAAAGATTTTCTACTTCCAGACCCAGTTTATCACGTTGACTACGATGATGTTCTTCATAATTGTACTTCCTGCTGCCAATAGTCTTTATGGCAGGTTGGTGGAAATGAACTAACTTTATTTATACTGGATATTTTTTATCAGTTCTAAAACTAAACTGTTCTCTCTGGAGGGCCAGTAAGGATCATCTCTTATTGATCCAGTGTTACTACGGGAGGAAACCTAAACTAAACTAACTTTATTTATACTGGATAACTCTATCAGTTCTAAACTGTTCTCTCTGGAGGTCCATAAGTTCTAAACTGTTCTTCCTGGAGGTCTAGTAATGATCATCTCTTACTGATTCAGTGTTACTACAGGAAGAAACCGGAGTACCCCACTAGAAAACCTGTTTACCCGTGTTTGGTAGAGTCAAACTGGAAGCACTCTTCTCACATGCGACTGAAGTTCCGTTTTCTAATTTTCTCTGGGTTGTTTCTGTTTAGAGGTGTAAGTTTGACGGCTACGGTCATCGTTCTTGTCTTAGTGAGTAGAATTTGTGCGGGATGCTGTTTTACTGGACAATTCATCATGATTGGTAATTGTGTACCCTCGCATTTAAGAGCGACTGTTCACGGGTTGTCTATGAGTGCGTCCTGTGCTGCTAGGTTAGTATGGTTGCAAGTATCTGCCTTTATTGGATAGCTTTATCAGTTCTAAACTGTTCTCCTTAGAGGTCCAGTAAGAGTCATGTCTTATTGATCCAGTGTTACTGAAGGAGGAAACCTAAACTAAACTAACTCAGTTATACTAGATAGCTCTATCACGGTCGTAAACAGTTTTCCGTGGAGATCCAGTAAGGATCATTTCTTATAGACCCAGTGTTACTGCAGGAGAAAACCTAACCTGAAGTTCAGGCCCTATCACAGAATAGGGCCTGACACAAAACCTATCTAAAGTGTGGGATTCCCGTCCACCTGGTGGACGGGAAATCTGATTGGTTGATCAGCATCATGAAGGATTTTGATT